TGGCACGCACACAGGTCACCCCTTCCTTCCTAACGGCCAACCACGTCCTTAGGCCGCAGCCCACGAACAACCCTGCTCTGTGGGAGGCAGACTCGAGGCTTGTCGGTCTCCCCGCTGCACTGGACTGCTTCTGCAAACGTGTCTGTCTAGTGACCGATAGGCAGCCGTATTCTCCGTGGATGGAAACTCTGGAGCCTTCCGTTAGCGCAGCGATGCTCTGTCCCCAAGGATGTCCAGATAATGTGATGGAGGTTAGGGACACGGAGAAGGTTGGCAGGAGGAACAAAGGGAGATGCATGTCTGTGTGTTGGGATGGAGTGTTACAGGTACCGAAGTTTCCAGATTCTTCTGCCCTTCTGCAATAAATTGTACAGAGACACGTGGAGAATTGTGGCAAGAGATAGTTTAATAACGGGGAGACCCAGAGGGGCCTGGAGGTGTGCCGTGCCTCCCCCGTGGCCTGTCTCTGAGTGGACAGAAAAGGGGATAACAGGTGAGGTCTTCAGTGACCTTTTACGGGTCATCAGCAGAGTACCCCGTCTCCTGAGCCCATAGAACACGCAGGCGCCCCCGCCCCCCACGCAGGCGCCACCCCCCCCACGCTCCCTCTGCCGAATGAAGCCAGGTTGTTGAATAGCAGTCCCCTAGGATTTGAAACACTCCTCCAGGAGGGGCCGCTCAGGATGCTCCAGAAGTGGAAACTTGGAAGATTCTAGAAGGGCCCTCCCTGGCTTTAGAGCGAAGAAAACTGAGGTGAGGAGCTTGCTGAGCTGCAGAGAGCAGAGATTCTCCGGGGTAGAGCGGCTTGCAGACTGAGCAGAGAGCGCCCGAGTTCCGGCCTCCATGAGTCCTCACCTTTCCCCATACTGTCTCGCTGTTCTCTGGAGTTTCTTCTTGGGTTGTTCCGTGCTGGGGCAGGGAGGGGGGGCGGGGAAGGAATCTGTTTTGATCCCAGGTTAGAACCAACTCGCTTACTGCTTCCTTTCCGAAGCGGCTTGTGCAACGCAGTCTTGTGCAATGTGGCCCCGTGGGTTTTCCTCCCGGCGCGGAGGCCGTTTGTGGGTAAGGATGCCAGGTCTGCACCCTGTAAACAGGCCACAGAATGCTCGCTGCCTCGGGCTAGCAGCTCTTATTCTAAGGACCTGGGGTCACTTTCTCCCGGGCGATGCCTGTTTATCGAAGATGGGCACCAGCAATAAACCAAAGTGCAACCTCACCAAAGTTCAACGTGGTGAACCCAGTGAGTTCACGGCGGTTTTTCAGAGACAAGCGCGAGTGAAGGGCTATTTACAGAAGTGTGGGTGACCGCCCCCCACAAACAGGTGTGCCACCGCGAAGGCGGGTCCCTGCCAATCTTCAACCCCCTGGGTCACCTGACCTCTCCCACAGATCACTTGCTGATGAAGGTGTCCTGACTCCGCATTTCTCCACCCTAGGGAATGCCGGTTATCTCCTTGGCCATCGCCATAGACCTGATTAGCACTGGATTATCCGGCTGTAGTTGCCATGGCTACCGGGTGGGGGTGGGGCCAAAGTCCACGATGGCAACTTGTGGAAAAAGTGAAATACAACAGGCCTTTTATTAAAACTGTGCCTAGCTCCATTGCAGTGCGGTAGCTGTGAAGGTGACTGGCACTTTCAACCAGGCGAGGTGGTTTGGAGCCAGCACGGGGCACCGACATTCTGGGTCCAGCCTGAGTCTCAGCTTGCCTCTGTTTAGGAGAAGTCAACCCTCCTAAGCGTCTTCACTTCCAGCCTTAAACCAAACCAAACCAAACAAAACCAAACTTAGAAGGAAGCGTCTATAGGCTTCATTCAGAGCGCTGCTGTATGAAGGTGATTTTTATAGAGATTTTAAGGACTTGATTTGAGATGATTTCTCCCCCAGGGTCTCTGCCTTCCTTATACTCCTCCCAACTCACTGCGCCCACGCTGCCCCAAGCCCTGTGGAGCCTGTGCCTGAGCAGCCTTGACCCTCCCTGCAGGGTGCCCTGGCTGCCACTCAGGCCTATCCAGAAACCAATGTCCCACGTGAAGGGAGGTGCTTCACCCAAAACAAGCATGCCCACGGGGTGACTCATCCACACACTGGCCCAGGCTGCCACAGCTGAACATTCCACAGGTTGTGTACAGTACTCCAGTCTGTTGGAAGCCGGAAGTCTTGAGGCCGGAGTGCCAGCAGGACAGGTCAGGGAAGGCCACCGGTAAGCCTTCTCAGTGCATCCTCACGGGTGGGGGGGTCCTCCCTTACGTGACCTCTCCCCAGCCTCCCGCTGCCTCCTCTTCCTCTTACAGGGCTCACAGTCCAGTTGGAAGGGAGCCCATCCCCGCCCATCCCCACGGCTTCAGCTGACCTAAATCACCTCCCTCAAGGTTCAGTCTCCAGTACAGCCACGATCTCACATCCTAAGGCCTGAGGGATACCGAGGCTCAGCTTAGCGTGACCCGGGGATGTGGAGCCACACCAGCCCCGCCTTAGACGGGGCAACTTTAAAGGGTCAGCCCACTCCGGAACGCCCAGTTTTGACGCGGTCTCCACCTGCCTTCCCTCTCTCTCAGGTATACCCAGCAGCACCTTCCGGTAACTTCCTGAAGCCCAGGGTCCACCTCAAGAATCAGCTTCCTCTGGCTTGCAGGGGACCAGGTCCAAGGTGCACACACACCTCCATTTCTTTATTTTCTCCTGGGGGAAGGAACACGGGTAGCGAGCGCATCCAGAAAACAGTGCTTCCAAACACCGCTCCCTCAGTATGAAGCAGGGAGTCACAGCCTGTAATCCTGAACTCAGCAGGCTGAGGCAGGAGGATGGTGAGTTCAAGGTCAGCTTTGGCTGTACAGCAATGCCTGGTCTCAGACAAACCAAACAAAATAAAACAAAACCCCAGAGTGACCGGAGTGGAGGGTAACGAGGAGGGAGGGGTGGGACAAAGAGCTGAGAGCCTTTCGGCTCTCCCTCCACTCTCATTGGCTCGGTCTTTCGGCACTTGCCTCTCCCTCCACTCTCATTGGCTCGGTCTTTCGGCACTTGCCTCTCCCTCCACT